GAGGGATGCGTACAACCGCACGGCTGTCCTCCTCTCCGCGCAGTCTCTGTCCGTCGGTGATATATTTATTTGCTTTGGCGTCACCCAGGGAAGACAAAACCAGCAAAGAATCAGGGATGAATCAAAACAAGACGCAAATAAGAAGGGGCACGCCATGCTGCCGCTGTATGCGTTTTTCTTCCCTCGCCCCACTCTGGCTGTTCAATACGAGAAGATGAGTTAACTGTATCCCTGTACTCACTCACTTGATGCCATGCGCTGCACTCCTCCTCTCTTGTTGTTATTTCTGCCGCTGCGTAGGGCCTGCCCAGGACTGCCATCATCAGGTGCACTGCTGCTGGGAGGGAGGGCGGGAGGGACTGGAAGGCGGGGGAGACTTACACACAGCCGGCGAAGGCTGCAGATAATCACCACCAGCGGCTGCTGCTGTGAAAACCAACAACAACAACAACAAAAACAACACACAAAGCAGAAGGAAGGAATCGGTGCGAGGGAGGCAACACATTATCGACATCGAACCACCGAGGAAAAACTAAAAAGTAACGAGAAAGTCGAGGTGTGGTGGGGGAACTCTCTGCCCATCTCTCTCTACGTGCAGGTCTGAGGCGGAGCTGCAGTACCGTGCCCGTTGTGGGAGCCCGACACAACCGGTGCGTGCATGAACCCCGCCGGCGTGATAGGCACCGCCGGTGATGACGGCAGCAGCATCAACAACAGCAACAGCAATAGCACTCCACCACTGCCAGTAATAGCAGTGGAGGCATCGGGTAGCGAACCGCCGAGGCGTGTCTTCACGCCCACGTGCCCGAAGTGCAAAGCGACGTTTGCTGCGCCGCGCAGGGATCTGCCGCCGAAGCGGTGGGACTGCCCGACGAAGGGCTGCGGTGGGAAGTTGTGGCAGCCGGACGAGGCTTCGCAGACGTGTGACGTCTGTGGTGCATCGGTGGCTCGCTTTACGCGGCACCATTGCCGCCGCTGCGGCTACGTGACGTGCGCCAGCTGCCTCGCCTTTCATAGTGTCTATGCGGAGTGGTCGCTGACGGAGAAGCAGCGTGTGTGCCGGCGCTGCGCGGTGCCGGAGGTGCCGGTGGCAATGTCGGGGTGGCTGCTAAAGCTTGGCCAGCGCTCCGCGTTCTTCGGTGAGAAGTTCCACTCGCGCTACTTTGAACTACGTGGGACGGTGCTGATGTACGGCAAGTTGAAGGGCAGCGGCGAGGCAGCGGAGCCGTTCTCGCTCAGTCACCACCAGCCGCTGCAGAAGAAGAACGATGCTGGTGAAAGCGGTAACAATAACTGCGTCAGCGACCAGCTATCCGCTTCCAGCAACACTGCTGGTGGTGGCGGTACTCTTCTCACCGGACGCATTGACGCGAGCGGCGCGAAGGTGATGGACGTGGCGATTCACCCGCACGCCTTCTGCATCGTCGGCCCGCGACTGCCGCGCGGCTACGTGCTGTCAGCGCCGAGCCTCGAGGAGAAGACGCGGTGGGTGGTGGCGATTAAGGAGCAGGTGGCGCGGGCGCGGCTGCAGCAGGGCGAGGAGGACTACGAGGATGACCTGGAGCACACGGAGCAGGTGCTGTACGCCGGCAGCGGCGCCGACGAGGACCAGAACGTGTCGGTGCACGACTTCGAGCTGCTCACTGTCGTTGGTCTCGGCAGCTTCGGGCGCGTGATGCGGGTGCGGCACAAGGCAACCGGCAACATATACGCCATGAAGATCCTCGACAAGCAGCAGGTCGTGCAGCACAAGATGGTGTCGCACACCAACGCGGAGAAGCTGATCCTGAGCGAGATCGCGCACCCCTTTGTGGTGAAGATGCACTACGCCTTCCAGACGCGGCGGCATCTCATTCTCGTCCTGGAGTTCCTCTGCGGCGGCGAGCTCTTCTTCCACCTGCAGCGCTGCAAGCGCTTCAGCGAGCAGCGCGCGCGCTTCTACGCCGCGGAGATCGGCATGGCGGTGGACTACATCCACAGCAGAAACGTGCTGTACCGCGACCTGAAGCCGGAGAACCTGGTGCTCGACCGCGACGGCCACGTCGTGCTGACGGACTTCGGCCTGGCGAAGCGCGAGCTCGCCGACGACGCGCGTACGCACACCTTCTGCGGCACGCCCGAGTACATGGCGCCGGAACTCGTGCAGAAGTCCGGCCACACGACGGCGGTCGACTGGTGGAGCCTCGGCGTGTTCCTCTACGAGATGGTGCACGGTCTGCCGCCCTTCTACTCGCAGAACGTGGCGGAGATGTACGACATGATTCTGCACAAGCCGCTTGTCTTCCCGCCGCACTTCTCCCCGGAGCTCAAGGCGCTGCTGCAGCGGCTGCTCGAGAAGGACCCAGCGAAGCGCATGACGAGTGGCGCAGAGTTCCGTGCGCACCCATTCTTCAGCGGCCTCGACTTCGACATGCTGCTTCGGCGCGAGATTAAGCCAGAGTTTGTGCCGGACGTGAAGCGCAGCGAACTGCGATACTTCGACAAGCGCTTCCTGCAGGAGAGCACGAAGATCGCGCAGCTCGACCAGCCGTACGACCCGAGTGACCCGATGAGCCGGGAGTTTGGGGTATTTGATAGCAGCACAAAGCCGTCTCCAGAAGTAGCAGCGTCGCCTTCATAACTGGAAGCGGTAGATGGGGACGAAAAGGAGCTGGGCGGCACTGCTGCTCAACAACAGCAGCAGCAGCTGGAGGGGGATACACCCCCCCAGAAGACATCTCCCCTGGTGATCTACAAGACAAGCAGGCGACAAAGGCAATGACGAAGCAAAATGGTAAAGGAAGTATGTGGCCGATGTGTAGAAGTCCTGTATGTGTCACGTATGCATACACATATATACAAGCCGGTGCTAATGACTGTTGCGTGATGCTGAAGGAATTAAGTGATCGTGCGAAAGGAAACACACACACACACACACACACACACACACACACGCATGCACAGAAGGGGATGGTCGGAGAGCAATACCATTCTGTGATGGTGGCGTCGCAAGCAGTAGTGGCGATGATGGTGTGTCCGCTGACATGACTCACATACGTCTCCTATTTTCTTGCATTCTTACCTATTTTAGCCTTTTCTCGCTACCCGGCATCTTCAATGTGTGTGCATGCGTCTGTGTGCATTGACACGTTGCGAACGTTCATTGACGGCAACGCAGTCGATGCACTCCTCTTAGCCGTCACTCTTTATGCGTGTGTTTTTGTTCTTTCTGGGAGCTGCGGCCTCGCCGCATGAGGCCCTTGTGCACTACACCCCCTCTCCCTTTCACTCCCTCCATCTCTGTCCCATTACACTTGTCGCCTCAAATCTTCTCTTCCCTCCATCTCTCTTTCTGCTGCTGTTGCCGCTGCCGCTTCTGTTGCTGCGTTAGTGCTGATAGTATAGGAAGCCGCTCACCCGTGTGTACGCGTGGCGGGGGAAGGCTGGAGCCAACACAGAGCGCCGCCCCAGGTATTCGCCCCGTCGGTGCAGCACCACACATATTTCACCCACATCATAGCAGCGGGTAGCAACAAGAGTAGGCAGACGCTGTACATACATACACACAGACACACACATAGCCAATAGTAAGTGGAGGGAAAGAGGAAATTTAGACTTCCTTCCTATTTACTTCTGTTGTTGTCGCGGCTAGTTTCCCCCCTTCGTTTGTGTTCGTTTGTTCCTTGGCACCTTCTACCTATCCGTCTGCGCCNCTATTTACTTCTGTTGTTGTCGCGGCTAGTTTCCCCCCTTCGTTTGTGTTCGTTTGTTCCTTGGCACCTTCTACCTATCCGTCTGCGCCGCACTCCCCGTATTCAGTGGTGTGGCGATCAACAGGAAGGGAGCTTAGCGGTGTTGGTGTGTGTAGTGCCCGTGCATCGTACACTAGTAGTGATTCCAACAGAAGGTCCACACATACATATACGCACACGTGTATACTGTGTGGGGTGGGTACGTGGAGTGTGATACAGTGAGAGAAAACAACAGTAACAGCATAGAAGCAGCGCTGGTGGCGGATTCATGCACTATTGCAAACAAACGCCGGCATCGAGCAACGATGCCTATAAGTGCTCCATCGATAGTAGCAGCAGCAACATGGTAGGTGGTGTGGATGTGGGAGGCGTTTCGCCACGCAGATTCCCACCACTAAGCGCGCCCTCGCCCCACACCAGCAGATCGTCACGAGCGGATCCGCTGCCGGGCGACTCAACGCATTCCGTTTTTCTGTCGCTGCCGCTGATGCCACCGCGGTACATGTCACCGGTGGCGCTCTCGCACATCTCTTCTAGTCGCAGTGGCACGGCCTCGCCGTCGACGCGGGCACCACCGCCGCTTCCCATCACACCGGATAGAGCCTCGCGGCGGAAGGAGAAAGAACAACAACAACAACAACAACAACAGCCGCAGCCGCAGCAACCACAGAAGGAGATGAAGATGTCGTTCAAGCAGCGGCTACGGCTTGGCGAGCAGAAGGAGAAGCAGCAACAACAGCAGCCGCAGCAAGAACGAAATGGACAAGGTGCCTTGCTAAAGGAGATGTCCCCTGGGCCGGTATCACCGTGTGTTGCGTTCAGGCGCAATCGCTTTGTGCAAGGGACCATCAGCTTCAACCATTCTGTCACCAATCACAGCAATAGCAATACCACCTTCAGCGGCACTGGCACCATCAGGGTGGAGGGCGGCATGCCAGTCAGTGATTTCGCAGACACAACACGCCGGACGTCCTCGCCGTCACCCAAGATTCCGAAATACGTATCTTCACCGATACAGCGCCAGGCGACCTCTACACCGCCTATGGGAACGGCGACAAAATCTAGACCCTCCTTCAAGGAACGGCAGCGGTCAAGCATGAATCAGCCAGCACCCTATCACATGAATCCACTTACGCGGATGCGCGCCTCCACCACTTCGCCGGCCATGACTACTGACCGTAGTTGGCCGCAGCCTCCCCCGCGAAGCGTGGTTTCCCAAATAGAATCTGCGCGCAGCCCCAGTGCCGGCCTGGCGGAGCAGCAGCAGCAGCAACAACTTGCCCGTAGCACGCCAACACTGAACATTCTGAATACCTCCTTCAACAGCACGTGGCCGCCATCCATCTCCAGCAGTTCCATGGAGTCATCGCTTACAGGGGAGAGAAGTGCGCACACACGACAGCGCGTCTTCCGTCAGGGGCAGGCGCAGCGTTCTGCGGCCGCCGGCAGCACCAAGAGCCCCGCAGGTGGTTCCAGAGTTCATCTTAGCAGGACCCGACAAAAAATGCAAGGCAGCCGCAACAGCTCAAGCGCCTCGTTGGACGAGTGTGGGAAGGCGGAGAAGAAGCCCACACTGTCGACGCATACGCACGGTTCTGGGACCGGGTCGCAGACGGAAAGAGCCCCACAAAAGCAGCAGCACGAGAGAAAACAAAGACAATGTACACCGCCGTGGAAGCCGTACACGCCATCGTTATCAACGTTCCTTGTCGGAGGGGCGCCGCGGCACCAACACAACAAGGGCGACGCCGTCTCCCCGAGCCGCGAGCATCAGGAGCGCCCCAACCCACTTTCACCACCAGCACCGTGCAACACGACGTGCGAGCCGTGCAGCGGTGACAATGACGGCGGTGAAGGCGGTGGCAGCAGCAATAGTTACACCCAGGTGAGAGAAGAGGACATCGGCCTCCCGCGCTTCGTGACACAGCACACCGGCTCACGCACAGCCTGTACCGCAGGGCACCTTCCCGGTGTGGTTTGTAGCCGTTGTACCAAGAAGAATAGTGAGCGGCGTGAGCGCGATAAGATGCTGAAGCGGCCCACACCCTTAACACCATGGTCACCCACCCCGCTGGCGTGCGATGCCGCCTTGCCGATGACGCAGACAACACCCACAACCACAACCACAACGAGTGTCATGGACAGCTTTGCGCAGATGATACAGCGCATAGATGAAGGCTCCAAAACAGCAACTCCTGTGTCACAGGTGCACTGTATGGAGTCCTCACTGGGCCGCACACAGCCTGGCGAGATGAGCTCCACCACGTTTGCTGCAACGCATGAGAATCGACGCAAGAGTAGTTTCTCGAGCCTTTACTTCTCTATGATGAAGCGGCATAATATTCAGCGGCTGGTACCCGTCACAAACCTCACATGCCAAGGACATCTCGACGAGGACACCACGCGTGAGATGCGCGGGGATAGTGTACCCAACGACATTTTCAGTGACAGCGACGACTATCTCGCTTCCTCGCTGCGCACGATTGGAGTGGTGGAGACGGAGGAGCACGTGTTTCTGCCACGCTACGAGCTGCTCGAGGATGGGCGGACGGCGATGGAGGTTATGTTGAGTAGTATTTGCGCCGTGCACGGTGAAGTAGGCTCCTTTGGCGACGACAGCAACAACAGCGATACCGGCACTTGTGCTGCTACAACGGCGGCGACGCATAGTGGTACAGTCAAACGCATAGCGGAGGCTGGACAGACCAACAACGAGAGCGACGACACCTTCACATTCGGCAGCATTTCACCAGCGTACCCGACGGACCCGGCGGACGAGGATCCGACGATTGACTGCAAAGTTGCCGCGCGCCTCCTCTTCGACGTAGAGGGGGTCGTCGTGCTTGTCTCCGCCAGCGAGGAGGTAAGGAAGTATATCAGCCCGCCGACGACCAGCAGCAGCGGCAACCAAACCAATAACAACAACAGCAACCTGGCGGATGACGGTGGGGATCATTCGCTGTGTTCGTGCAGCCGGGATTTCATCACGAAGGATGTACGCGGGGTCGACTACAGCAGGTATCATGCGCACCAGCTCTACCACCACTGCATGTACTGCAACCGCCGCCCCGCTGCTTTCCTCTGCCTGCACTGCCTCAAGTCGACGTGCCCGTCGCACGTTACACAGCACTACAGGTCGTGTGAAGCGGAGTGCACGCTGTTTCTCAACCTGCTCGACATCATGACGAGCTTTGACCGCATATTCTGGTGTGAGAAATGCAGTTGCTTCACGTGGAGGCACACAGAGGTGTACGACCCGCTGGTGGATCAGCTCGCCCTCACGCGCGGGACATACCTGAACGAAGCGGTGCGCAATATCTCGTGCGTCGGCTACGACGTGCAACTGAAGAAGCCACAGCCGCGCTTCTACGCTTCAAGCCAGCAGGCCTCGCCGCCGCGGGATCACGTGAGTCTCAGTTTAACCGCCAGCCCTATTGGGCAGATGTTATCAGCTCAGTCTGTCGCTCTCTCGCCGGTGAACCTGCCTCTCAACTCCATGCGTGAGCGCGGAAATAATAGTGTGAGTGATCAAGGAAGTCCAACCGGCGGTTGCAGCGGGTCCCCCATGGCACACGCACTGCAGCGTGACGTTGTGAGCCTGATGCAGGAGAGCGAGGTGGTGCGGGTCGGCGAGGCGGTGCCAAAGTTGGTCTCGCTCGGAGCGAAGGTGCAGGGCTGGCGCTCCACGCAGGAGGACGCCGAGGCCGCCTTCGTTATCAACATACCCGCACTTTCCACAGCAGTGCCACTAACAGAAGCAGGCTTGGGAGGAGGAGGAGGAGGAGGCAAAGGAGGAGTGGCGGACGAGGGTGCGCAGCCAGAGACAATCGCAATGGCGGTGTTTTGCGTGTTTGATGGCCACGGCGGGGACGCGGTGGCGAAACTCGCCGCCTGCCGCTTCGAGGCACACCTCCGCAAGGCGGTCGCATCCGCGCGGCACGACGACGTACGGGCCCGCGCACTACTCTTCCACCTCGACGTAGAGTCCTCAGCGCCGAGGGCGACCCGAGACGGTGCTGGAAACTACCCATGCAGTCAAGAAGATGGCCACAACAACAACAACAACAACAACAACAACAACAACAACAATACAAACGATGAGGGTGATAGTAGCGTGCTGGAGAACGGCATCACCACCGAGGCGCTGCTGCGCCACATAGAGAGCAGCGCCAAATTCGCCACGAGCTCCACCCAACCCACCCTCCTGGCAACGGCAGCAGCACCACCTATTACTCTTGCCGCTGCTGTGGAGAGGGACGTGAGCCCGATGCATGTGGCCTCTCTACAGGGCGCTGGTGTGGCGTGCAGCAACTCCCATGCACCACCCTCCACTACTTCCGGCTGCCGAGCGCGCGGCAACGCCTCACCGATCGTGTCGCGGCAGGAAATGGAGATGCTACGGGTTTACTTCGCCAGCATCATGGAGGACGCGCTGCTCTCACTTGACGACGACCTGCGCTTCTCACTGGAGGGACTGCGCGGCGACTACCACAGCACCGGGTGCACCGCCTGCGTCGTCGGCATCACGACGAACTTCATCCTATGCGCCAACGTCGGTGACAGCGGCGCCGCCTTTTACACGCCGCAGAGCATCCGCCGCATCAGCACCACGCACCGCATCAGTGACCCGGCGGAGGAGGCCCGTATCCGCGCCGCCGGCTACGCGATCAGCGCACAGCGCATTGAGGGGCTTCTGGCGGTGCCGCGCGCCCTCGGCGACTACGACTTTAAGCAGTGCGGCGGCAAGGGACCGCGCGAACAGGCTGTCATTGCGGTGCCGGATGTCACCATCATGCCGGTGCCGTCGTCGGATGAGACGGCGCGCTGGGGCGTTATTGCGGCCTGTGACGGCGTGTGGGATAGCGCGACGCTGCATCAGATCCACCACGCGATCGTCAACACACCGAACGACCTGGATGTAGCGGCCTCCGCCACGGAGGCGGTGCTGCGCGCGAAGGAGATGGAGGCTGAGCTGCACCACAGGACCGCGGTAGAGTCGGAAACAACACCAACAGTAGACACCGCGTCGGTGGATGCGCTGCTGCTCACCTCGGCGGCTGGTGTCTTTGCGCAATGCGTGGCGCCGAGCGACAACGATGAGGGAATCGGCATGGATAACTGCAGTGTATTCTTGATTGAACGGCGCTGATCCCACTTCTTCAGCTACTATTACTATTACTACTCATGCTGCTTATGGCTTTCACCGCCAGGCACATATATATATATATATATATTGACAGTGCGTGACGGGGGATGCACAAACCAAGTAGGAAGAAAGCTAAGCTGTGCGAAACCAAAAAAAAAAAAACAGAACTGATCGCGTAGTGACTCTGTGGCGCCCATGGAAGCCGACACGTGTACCTCCGTAGATATATGTGCTTACATATAAGGAGTTCAACTACCTGTGGCGCGGAACCAAAATCACACAGAGGAGAAAAAAACAACAACCCAACAAACAAGTTTAGCCAGCGAGAACATGCGGCGCTTGACATTTCCTCACCCTCTCAGCGACGCGTAAGTAAAAGAGGGGAACCGAACAACTTCTTTCACTAGTTGCCGTGATGTATCGTGTCTCGTGTTTCCAGTTGTATGTATGTCTTCCTCTGTGTGTGTATGTGTGAGCTTCTCAGCCTGCTTGATGCGATTCTGATCTAATGAGCGAAAACGTACGAAATATCGTTGAAGACAGAGCGTCTGTGTAGGTGCATGCGTGCGGTGGATGGAGGGCAATTGGTGGACAATCGCGGAGACTCCGTGCGTCTTTCATTTTATCCACACACACACACACACACACACGCATGCATGCCGCGTGATGCTGCTGCTGCTTCTTCTAACTGCGACATGCGTCAAAAAAGTAACACATATACATATATATATATATATATATATGCCTGTGGTGCGATTCTGCTACAGTCTCGTGCGCCTGCTCCCTCCGCTATATGTGAGGGAAAGTGAGTGTGAGGGGGCTGCCCACTTTGAGCACCAACGCCCCCATCCCACGAAAGGGAAAACGATGATGAAGGGAGACAAACGATGAAATAAATCAACAAAAAAGTGTTTTTTTTTTGCTTTCTCCCCTCTGACCCGTAGATGGCTGTTGTGCTATTCTCGCTCTTGCTGCTGTGGCTTCTGGCCACCACATGTTGTTGTCCTCCCCCCTCACGTGCTGTCATGGATGCTGCCCGTGTGTATCTCCCCCCTTCTCTCTTCACCAGTGCTGCACTTCTGAGTGCGTGTAAGGGAAGCGAGCTGCCCACAGGGGCAGCCAGACACGTCTGTTTGTTGAAGCGCTTATCAGTAGTACATAAAACAGCAGTTGCAAGTAGTATTCTCCATGAAAAGCGAAAAACGATACATCACACTCGCGGAGGTGTGGCGTGAAATGCGCCCGCTGAAGGCGCCGTTGCCAATGAAGCCGATATCAACCCGCACCAAGCCAGCACCAGCAGCATTATCCACCCCCATTGCTGCTGTTGCCGTTGCGGCTAGAGCGACGAGCAGCACGTCCACGTCACCACTCGCGCATTCTCTGCAACTTGGAAGCAGTGCGGCCAGTTCGGAGAATGGGCTGCTGCTGTCTCGGGGCGGGTGTCGTGTAAAGTCAAGTACATCATTGTTGACTGAAGCCTTAAAGTCGGGAAATAAACCTAGTACGTGTAGCACCATCAGCGGCCAAGCTTCCCCGGTGGTGTCCCCTTCGAAGGGTGTTTCTTCTTCTTCTGCTGCTGCTGGTGCTGCGGGTAAGACCCGATCGCTGCGCCGACAGACGGGAGTTAACCTGCAGCAGTCGGGCATCGCGGCGAAGAAGACAAAAATGTTGGCGCCTGCGTTGGATCCTCTCAGCATCAGGGGCTATGCATTCACTGCAGAGGCCAACACCACGACTAAAAGCACCAAGGCGAAACGACATGATAGGGTAGAACCTACACTGAGAAGGCAATTATCCCTCAGCGAGGACTCTTCACACATTGTGGGCGGATGTGGTGATAGTCTTCGTGGAATTTCGAGGGATAGTGCTGCGTTAAGCAAGAACCTTTCTCCTTTAGACAAGGCGATTGGTATATCACCTGGATCACGGCGCCAAAAGCAACAAAAGGCCCCAAAACAACAACAACAACAACAGCCACATCAATGGGTGCTGCGGAGCACACCAGGGGCATCAGTAGTGGCACGAGGGGAGGATGCTCTTCCTACCGTGCCGGGTTGCTGCAGTTACGTTGGTGCCGCTGTCGGCAGCTCCGGACAAAAACCCTTCATTAGGCTCATGAGCCGTAGGAATATGAGCTTCCATGTGATGCCTTCCTTGGCTTCACGCAAGCCTGGTGAGGAATCGTGTTTTTCCAGGACACTCAGCACGATGTATGATACAAAAATCGATGTGCGCCCTGGCCGAAACGATACATCAGTGGTCAATAAGCGAAGAGTCATCGACGGCACGCGGATGACTTCTGGGGCTGATCATGCTGACGGGACACCTGCGGGTGAAAGCAAATCGACCATGAAGCACCACCCACTGTTAAGAGTAGCACGGGAGAAATATCAGCAGAATCACCGGAGGCCGTCTACTTTCGCGTGCACGTACGCCGCGGGTCTTATTTCATCTCCCTCTGTCCCCACTACTATTACTCCAGCAGCAGCAGCACCTGCGGCGCCCTTTACGCGTCAAGTCAGTCAGCTGTGCCTCACCATTCTCCGAGAGCGCGACCGCCGCCGCAACCGAGTGAAGACCATACAGGAGAAGTCGGAGGCTACGGACACTAAACAAGAACAACCAGGAGAACCAGGGGAGCGGCGAAAATCTCAACAGACACCACCACCACAGCAGCATCAGGAGCAGGAGCAACTTGTGTTGTCCACTCCCAGAAACCCTAGTGCCAATTCATCTCCCCCGCTCTGTCCTGAGAAGGATGACGAGGCAAAAATGAGCCCATGCGCTGCAGTGCTCGAATGTATGCGAAGCGTGCTGGAAAAACGACGTTTGCATCAGGTGCAGCACGAAACCGGCACCACGATACTGACAAAAATGTCCCCCTGTGCGGAGTCGAACGTTGGGTACGGGGCGAGCATCGGGCTTACCCCCAGCGAGACCATGGTGACGGAGCGAAGCCCCGACGTGTCATCGTACAATCACCTCGCGCATCGTCACAGCGACGCCAGCAGCTGCACCAGGAATTACAGCAACTCCACCACCACCACCACGATCAACATTACCAACAACAACAGGGAGGAAAACAGCAGCAACAATGAGGTGGATGATCTGGACGAGGTGGATGATGATGAGACAGGTGATGAGGACACATTGTGGTGCTTCGACATCTTCTGGTGCGGCCCCTTTGAGCGTGCACCACCGCCGCCGTCCTTTGTGCCGCCGCTCGACCTCGCGTGCGTGCGTGTTCCCGACGACCTCGCCGCGCTGACCACGTACATCATCCCGCTGCCGACGCCAACAACGGCATTCGCGCGTGGCTGCCGGCTGAGCGCGGAGGCCCAGGGGTGCGACAACAAGCGTGTGCGCTGCGGCATCTTCACCGACACGAGCGACGCCCTTGCGTACGGCAGGGGCGTGGTGCGGGAGGCGAAGCAGCGCGCGCAGAAGGAGCGGGTANAGCTGCTGCTGCTGGAGTCGCACGAGCGTCGCGCGCGACGACTGCTCGCGCAGGAGGAGATGGCCGAGTGGAAAGCGCTGGAGAAACCCGTGGTGTTGCTGCTGCAGCAGGAGTGGTAGCAGTAATAGTAATGAGTGGGGATTGTCTGGGCGAAGAAAAGCGGATGGGGGAGGGGTAGACATTATGAGTGAGTGGGAATGTAGTAACGACGTGCTGGGGATGAGCGTGTGAGTCCGGGTGAAGTATTTTTTTTGTCGTTTTCCCTGTGTTTGGTGTTTCTTTTTTACGCGTGTACGTGTGCAGTCTCTGGGCTTGGCTCTAACAACGACACACCATCATCGTTTCGCTATCAGTATGATCTATATGGTGCATTTTTTTCTTTCGGTATGTATTCCTCTACAGTAAGCCTTTTTGTGCGTGTGTGTGCGTGTGTGTGTGTGTGTGCCTTTGACTGCCGTGTTTGCTTCGTACTGAATAACAAATACGCGTTGCCACTGTAGAAGCAGTAGATGGGTAAACGTGAAGCCGTGTCCAATCGTACAATTTCATCCTGGTGCGTCTTTGATCTGTATGTATTCCACTGCTGGGATTCGCCACACTCAACGCGGCAAACTCGTGTTGCGCTTGGCGAATAGCAGCTCCCTCTACCTTTACATCTATATATATATATATATATATATATATCTATGAATTCACACTGATTTGCATGTGGGTTGCGACTGTTGTTGCGCTTGTGTCTACGGCTGCTACGGAATGGTGCAGGTGGTGTGTTGTGCCGTTGCTTGTGTATATATTCGTTCTTCTCTGTCGTTCTTTCCTCATTGTTTCTTACACTCCCGTGGCTTGAACAGGTGTGCTGTATATATGTGTCTGCGCAGAGGAGGGAGAAAGAGAAGCAGCAGCA